TTTACTCTCTTTCTGACCAGCTGATTGAGAGCGCCCAAACAGTGCCCGGTGTTCAGCTGAATCTAGCCTCCAGCTCAAGAGGAAACGACTCAAGATTGCCGCCAATTCCGCCGTCCAGTGTGCACGGTTTTGAGGTGTTCAACAGCAGTGATCACATTGAAATGGCGGTGATCACTAATCACGAGAAGAGCTTCAGTAATCGGTACTACCACAGCGTTTTTGATAACGAGCTCAATGTACTTCCTGAAGGTATCGACAAGTTGGCCAAGCATCTGGCGTCTATTGCCACGGTGGTCAGTCGAGCGGTGGCCTCTTTTCTGGTGAATGGTAGTGATCACTTCAACACAACGGCCATTTCTGCTAATGTCAACCTAACCAGACAGCTGGTAAAGTGCATCTTTACCGACAGAAACTGTTCACTGCTTCAGCACATTCAGCGGCGACAGCTCTACAATGAAAGTAAGTTTGGTAGCTCCTAAGGACAGAACTTTGATAATTTTTTATGTTTCCTTTCAGCGGCCAATTTAAACAGCACCGACACACTTTCTGAGGATGACAGTGTCTTCAACATGGTCTACGACATCATGGTCAATCTCACCGGTAAGAGTGTGCCCTGTCCGGAGAAGGGCGCCAACAGTGATGCCTTTCAGTACGTCAACTTTGATCAAGAAGATGCGGAGGAAAGAAACAACGGAAGCAGCAGCAGCAACAATACATGCACTCGTTACCAGGCGCACAGTACCAGGGCCATATCACCATACTTTCTCGATGATGTCTCTGCCGATTACCAGAGGAGCCGCCTCTCTCANTACCAGGCGCACAGTACCAGGGCCATATCACCTTACTTTCTCGATGATGTCTCTGCCGATTACCAGAGGAGCCGCCTCTCTCAGTGGGTGCTCAGCCACCGGCAGCCACTACTGGCCGCTCAGAGGGTGCGCCTCATTCTGCTGCCCAGTCGGCAGTACATCATTTTCCTGAATGCAATCGGAGTTGTGCTGACATTTGGAGCAGTCCTAGTGTTAGTGTGCTTTTGTTGTTAGCAACAATCAAAATAATTAAAGGTAAAACTGAATAAAGTTTTTCAAAATTCGTTCTTTTTAGTTTAAAAGCCAAGGGCTTTTGACCATTCGGGAAAAAAAATTTCCACTTAAAAGCCAAACATGAAGTGGTTTTTGACAAGTTTCCTTTTAAGTGTTGCAGCAGTGACCTTTCTTCTTTGGGCGCGTCTCAGTAATCAAGAAGTTTCCTTCATACCAGCTGACAGCTTGAAANGCTTTTAAGTGTTGCAGCAGTGACCTTTCTTCTTTGGACGCGTCTCAGTAATCAAGAAGTTTCCTTCATACCAGCTGACAGCTTGAAAGTGTCTGAAGAGCAGCGTCCACCCTACATCGACGACTCTCACCTGCTGGTGCGCACCAACGCTTGCACCATTTACCAATGGCCAGTGTTCCCACTGGACACGATGCTCCTCTTTGAGCGGCAACCCGAAAAACCTAACTGTTCGTCTTTTCGTCTTGAAGACGCCATTCACCGCATCAACTTTACCTCAGTTTACCTGCCCCCGACGCTGATTGACTGCAAGGCATTCGAGCTCAGTAGAAAGGCGGACGATTTCTGGAACAATAACAAAAAGCTGCTTTGGAAGCAGAACGCTCAAAGTGTTTCTTCAAAAAGTCATCAGATTCTGCACTTTGAAGGGGCCGAGAATGTGTTTATCAAATGCAAAGGAATGCTTACAGATGAGGAAAATGAGCAGCAGAAAGTCGTCCCGTTGATACCGCTGAAAACGCCTAAAGTGTGGCCTGAGAGTTTGCCAAAGTTGGCATTTAAAGTGAAGGTAATAAACATAAAGTACAAAACTATAATCCGGTCTCAAAATTCCCTTTTCAGAACCTGTATCCACAGACAAACATTGTCTTCATTGGCATCGACTCGCTTTCTCGGCTGAACTTCCTTCGACAGATGAGGAAGACGGCGGCCTTCCTCGAGGAGCATCACTTTCAGACCTTCTACGGACATCACAAGGTGGGCACCAATACGCGACCCAATCTCTTCGCGATGATGCTCGGCATCAGTCCGGCGGAATACCAGGCTCGACTGCCGCCCTCAAAGTTGCTCGACGACTACGCTTTTATCAGCAAGGACTTTTCTACCGGCGGCTACCTCACCTCCATGATTGAGGACTACTTCCCGTACGTGCTTTTTGAGTTTGACGGTGCAGAAGGCTTTACCCCTGATAACTATCCCATGGACTACAACATTGACCCACTGGGAAGAAATATACGCCATAGCAGTCGGTTTAAGTTCGAGTCGGCGTGCTACGGAAACAGACTTCAAGTGGAGGTACGGAAGATTTGGCGCTTTGAAAAATTGCAATCAATTTTTGAACTCTTTTTTCTTGCTTTCCCAACTCTTAGTATTATCTTGACCTGTTGCTCGACCAAATGGCAGCCTTCCGAGCCCGCAAACAGCCGCACCTCATCTGGTCTCACTTTTCCGGCCTCACACACGACCACTTCAATGGAGCGCAGAACTTTGATCGCCCCTTTCTGAAGTTAATGCAGAACATCTTTGCTCGTGGCTACTCGAATGACACAGTTCTAGTCTTCTACTCGGACCACCACAATCGCTTGAGTCCAGAAGTGAGCAAACTGGGCAGCCACCATCACGAGAGCAACCTGCCGCAAATGGCCATTTGGGTGCCGGAAAGTTTGCGACTGCTGACAGAGGACGGAGGTGAAGGGTTGATCGACGGCAAACAGGTTCGAGCGGTGATGAAGGTTAGTTTGTTAGGCGTGAGTTGGAAACATTGAATAATTATAATTTCTCTTTCTTATCACAGGCCAACTCTCGCCAGCTGACGAGCATGTTTGACGTGTACTCAACGCTGCAGCACCTCCTCTACGGAAGGCCGGTAGCGCACCCAAAAGGCGTCTCTCTTTTTACGCCAATCTCGCCCACTCGAAGCTGCTCCCAGGCGGGCATTCCCCCACAGTACTGCCAGTGCACTGAGTACCGCAACTTTGAGGACGCCGCCATGGCCGCTGCCATCGCCGAGTGTCTCATTAAGTACATCAACGAGAAGAAGGTGCCCTCTCTGCAGTATCCCCTTTGTGGCCGACTGCAGCTGGGCGAGGTGGTCTCCGTGAGGCGATATCTGCACGATAACGCCCTAGAGGAGCACGGGCTGTTGCTGGGAATGCGCTTCAAGGCGGCGCCGCCCAGTGGGGCGCTCTTTGAGGCGTCGGTGCAGGTGAACAGTACAGACATGACATCACTGACAGCAATCACAGCTAACAAAAGCATCAGTATGTCCGATCTACAACTTTACGGCGAAATTGACCGCCTGGACCGGTACCGAGAGCAGAGCGCCTGTGTGGCAGGCACTGAAGCCGAGCGCTTCTGCTACTGTCTGCCAAGCGCATAAAGGGCACACCTCTTTCGGTAAGTTTGGGTTTTAGATTTAGATTTGAATTAAATTATGTTTGTAGTAAACTGTGAGTGTGTGTGCAGCTACTGCATTTTGCTGCAGTCATTGTTTCACTGCTTTCTTTTCCTTACCATTCCTCTTTGCCCCGTCAACGGTCGAATGGCTGTCAGCTTTGGCGCTGAGCTTCGAGAGGGATCCAGATCCAGCGAACGACTGCGTTTTAAAGTGAGAGATATGAGAGGCAGCACCGGAGCCAGTTGTGCCTTCATTGAGAATGTTTGACATTCCGCCGTGGTTGGAGGGCGGTGCACCGTTCAGGTCGTAGCGCTTAACTAGGCGATTGTACAGCTTCTGGTCGACGAGCACTGGACCTAGCTCTTCAGGAAAGGCCGGAAGCTTTGGCTTTGCTCCGGTGGTCGTCTTTGCCTCCTCCTTGGTAGCGGTACTCTTGCAGGTAGTGACCGTCTTTGCTTCGGAAGCTCGGCAGTTGTGCTCTGAGCCTTTGCCTTTGGTAATGGTCGACTTTGAGTGCGCACTCACTTTAGACTGCGTCTTTTTACTGTGCAATGAGGTGTTGGAGGCCGCCGGCTGGACAGTAAGTGGCGGAACCACCTTCTTCGCCACACTCTCTTTCAGTGGTATCTTTCCTCCAGGAGCTTTGGATTGGCCTTTCTGTTTTGCTGGAACCGCGTTCACTTTGCTGACTGTACGGAATCAGACGGAGAAGAAGAAAAAATGAATCAAATTGCTTGTAAAGAGTTTTGGATAGATAGACAGCATTGATACCTTTCAGTGGAGCGACACTCTTTTTCTTTCCTCTATTGTCATCTTCATCTTCCTCGGAAGCACAGCTGAACACGGTCAAAGGGATGACGATAAAAAGACTGATGAAAATGTAAAAGAGTGAAAGTGTCAGCTCCATGGTTTGCAACTTTAGTGAACGAAAGTGTGCTGTACATTTGAGTTTTACTTATGTAGTTCTTTGAAAGCTATTTTTAGAACTCGGTTTTTTTAACTTTATCTCTAAAAAGTGACGTGTTTCTTTTCACTTACATTATNAAAAAGACTGATGAAAATGTAAAAGAGTGAAAGTGTCAGCTCCATGGTTTGCAACTTTAGTGAACGAAAGTGTGCTGTACATTTGTGTTTTACTTATGTAGTTCTTTGAAAGCCATTTTTAGAACTCGGTTTTTAACTTTTTAACTTTATCTCTAAAAAGTGACGTGTTTCTTTTCACTTACATTATGGCTTCTATTGAGTGAACATATTAAGATGTGGCTTTTATTAGCACTCTAAGGCAAAATGGCATATTTTAATGGTACTGGATAACTGTCAAGAATGATATCTGAATTTAACTGATCATTTTTAAGAAACTAAAAACTTGGTTTCTTTTGCATTGAATCCACTTGTAACATCGTGTTTGTACGGTGCTTCTGAAAAACCGTTGGCTGTACACCATCTGCATATCAACTGGTGTTTGCGCCTTACGACTCAGCTTCCCATGCATAAGATTTTAATCTTTGTATCTTTTATTTTTTAAGAATGTAATGTCCCAATATGAGAATACATCTTTTATAACTTACTTAACCTGTTTTTTTGAATGAGTAGCTAAAAAGATTTTTGTTCTAAATAAATAGTTTTTATCATAAGTTTACAGATTTCTTTCAGGCGAAACTTTATGAAAGTTGTTGTATTGGAGAGTGAAGGGGTTAGGGAAAAAAGCAAAAATGTGGTTGTGACATCTAGATGTAATGTGATGAGAAGCTCTTACAAAACTTGCAATTTGTTTCTATTCAGGAATGAGCTCGATGAAGAGGACAACCAATCCATCAGTTTCAACACTGACAAGCTTCATTCGGCGAACGTCAGAGAGCTTGAACGGTGACTCTGAAAGCGATTTTGACGAAGTAGATGGGTTCGAAGTAGAAGGCTTTGAAATAGATGAGTTTGAAGCTGAAGGCATTGAAGTAGAAGGCATCGAAGTAGAAGGCTTTGAAGCAGATGACTCAGTAGTAGACGGGCTCGAAATGGGTGTGAAAGCAACTGGCTCAATTTTGACTTTCACTGCATCCTTACTGAACTCTACTGGCTCTAGCTGCAGAAGAGCGGCGGCCGATAAAGGATCAATTGTTTCTTCTTCCTTCTTAACGGCTGCATACTGGTGCTCGTTCAGTATCTCATTAGCTTCCGAAAGAGAAACCTTTGGTTTTTTCTCGACGAGACGTTCATTGCGCCAAATTTTAAGGAGTTCATTGTTAAGAATATTCTTTTTGGGCTCCCAAGTCGCTTGACTTGTGTCAAATCCATCCCACTTGATGAGAAATTCGACGATCTTACGTCCATTATTTCCTTTGCGAACACGTTCGTCTATGATCCGTTCGGCTTTCCACACATCGTCTCCATATTCTGTGAGCGGTCCAACGGTATCAGAGGATGTAGAAGATGAGTCCACTAAAGTAATATAAGAATAGTTAAGAAAGAAAACAAGTAAAAGTCATCATTACTTTTAGCGGCAGAAACAGTTGAGAAACTGGGGAAGAGGTGTGCTGCTCACGCGACGGTGTTCTTTTCCATGGGCGTCCGTCAAACTGCTCAAGCTGATTCACAAAAAGCAGCGGAAAAGCTGTTATGCTGAAGGATTCCAAGAGTCGTCCTCTACGAGAGCCTCTAAAACAGCGTGCTCGCTGGGGACCCGTTGTAATTTACAAGTTTTAAAGGACAGCTAGAAAGCTAGCCCGGAAGTTGAGTGTTGGAGCTCGGTGAAGCAAGTCGTTCGACTGCAAAAAGAAGAGTCCTGAAGCGAAAAACCTGATAACTCTACGTCGTATTGTACCGATAAAAGTGGTGTCCGGATGAGTTGGTGAGGCTGTTGCGTTGTAATAAAAGCAAATTTTGGGCCGTCTGCAAACGTAAAGTTCTTCGGTCACTCAANAGTGAGGCTGTTGCGTTGTAATAAAAAGCAAATTTTGGGCCGTCTGCAAACGTAAAGTTCTTCGGTCACTCAACGAAAAAAATTTGGTTTTGTAAAACTACTTTTTACGTGAACTGTTTACCTAAAACCAATGCACACGTGCTTTTTGGGGCCTTTTGTTTCTGCGAAAACTTTTCTNTGGTGAGGCTGTTGCGTTGTAATAAAAGCAAATTTTGGGCCGTCTGCAAACGTAAAGTTCTTCAGTCACTCAACGAAAAAAATTTGGTTTTGTAAAACTACTTTTTACGTGAACTGTTTACCTAAAACCAATGCACACGTGCTTTTTGGGGCCTTTTGTTTCTGCGAAAACTTTTCTATACAAGAAAATCTAGTTTCTGGAAAGTTTCCGTAATCTATTTTTATTTCGTAAACCTCGTAAGACTCGTTCAGACTAAAACAACGGATAAACAAAAAACTGCCGTCAAGCAAATTTTAGTACATCGTGCTTGCTGCAACTACCCTAAATAAATGTTTCTTTTTTGACCTTTAAATGAAGAACAGGGTGAGAATCCAACATCAACGACGGNCGGATAAACAAAAAACTGCCGTCAAGCAAATTTTAGTACATCGTGCTTGCTGCAACTACCCAAAATAAATGTTTCCTTTTTGACCTTTAAATGAAGAACAGGGTGAGAATCCAACATCAACGACGGCAATGCACCATGCAAATTGAAAACAAAGTTCGGTTTGTTCTATCAAGAAAGCCACAACATGTACACGTCAGATTTGGAAAAGCAGCTATTTATTTGGTGATTTGCTTTGTAGTCATCAATTGCAAAAACCACAACTCCAGTCTGCAATGTCAAGTTTTGAAAGCAAGCCAAAGTCGTCGAAAGGAGGAGGAGGAGGAGGATCCACTGATCTGGAGAAGAAGCTGCAGCCAAAACTNGGAAGGAGGAGGAGGAAGTGGATCCACTGATCTGGAGAAGAAGCTGCAGCCAAAACTGCCACCTCTACAACAGCAAGTGAAAGTGCCTAAGACGGCCACCACCACCGCCGCCCCTGCAGGCAGTGTGCCTCGTCAAATGTCTNACCACCTCCACAACAGCAGCAGCAAGTGAAAGTGCCTAAGACGGCGGCCACCACCACCGCCGCCCCTGCAGGCAGTGTGCCTCGTCAAATGTCTCAAATGTCGCTGCACTCGGTAAAGTCAATCGCCACCCGTCTGGGACAGCGAGCCGGCGACGGAGAGGGCGGAGGGACTCGCACAATGAACCGCGTCCTCGGGAACATCTACACCCAGCCACTGGCGGACATTAGCGCCAACCCGTTTGTGAACCTGTGGCAGACCACCCAGTGGGAGCGCCTGCGCCTGGTCACCATCGGCCCGCTGGTGGTCTTCATTCGCATCGTGCCCATACTCTTCTGCCTTCTAGCGGGCTGTCTCTTCGCCAAGGTGGCCGTCCTCCTAATGGCCCTCCTCACTCGGTGGCGCATCAATGCGGAGCCCTTTCGACAGGTCGCCCGAGACACCTGCTTCGCCATCCTCCGTGCTGGCCTCTTCTTCGCCGGCTTCTACTGGATACGCGTCATTGACTGCCGGAAGGATCGACGCCGCTTTGCGCCCATCATTCCCGTGGCGCCGCACACCTCATTCTTTGACGTGCTGATCATCCTTAAGCTGATGCGTCCTACCTTTGTGTCGAAGACGGAGAACCAACAGGTGCCACTGCTGGGCAACATTCTCCACCTCTGCAAGGGCATCTACGTCGACCGAGAGGACAAGAACTCCCGTCAAAAGACGATTGAGGAGATTCGCAATCGCGCAAACAACGGCGAGACAATTCTGATCTTTCCCGAAGGCACCACGGCCAACCGTACGTCGCTGTTGCAGTTCAAGATGGGCGCCTTCATTCCAAAGCTGCCCGTGCAGCCGATCATCGCTCGCTGGGACGCCGGCGAGAACATGGACTCGGTGGCCTGGGCCTGGGAGGGGCCCAGTCCCTTCAGTCTGGTGATCAGTCTGCTGACTCGAGTGAGCACCAATCTGGAGATTACCATTCTGCCCGAGTACGTTCCCAACGCTGAGGAAAAGGCAAACACTCGCCTTTTTGCAGAGAACGTCAGCAAGTTGATGTGCCAGGATCTGGGTGTCCTTCAGTCCTACTACTCCTACGATGACGGCTCCTTGATGCCCGTTGCCAAGGACATTCGTCTCTTTCGCAGTCCAGCCTGCATGTCACTGCTCAAACTGTGCTACAATCTGCTGGTGAAGCAAACGGAGAAGAAGCCAGAAAAGAAAGGACAGGTAATGGGAGGAACGCTTTTTAAAATCTTTGTGATAATCAATGATTTCATTTGAACAGAGTGCCAAACCACAGTCACAAACGCCTGTAAAGGAGAAGACAGCAGCAGCAGCTACAACGAAACCCTGTGAAAAGGCTGCGGCAAAGGGAACTACCCCAGCTAAAGCTCAGCTGCCCAACTTTAACGGCACTCGGGTGGGCGGAATTTTCGGCATCGGTGAAGACGTTGACCACGCACAGACAACGGTGGAGCTGTACCAGCCTCGAAACTTCTGCCCTGCTGGCGAAACACAAGGCACTCCACTTCTTGGCCGGGACCAGTTTGTGAAGTGTCGCTGGGACAAACCGATCAAGGCCACTGCCAGCAAAGCAGGACCATACAGTGCTGGCAGTGGCGAGTTCCACCAGCTGCCCATCAGCGGCGCCCGTCGTCGTCTGCATCGCGCCCTCAGTCTGTCGTCGCCAAAGGAGGCACTGGAGAGCAGCAAGGGTCGTCAGATCTACGAGATCTTCAGCCACTTCATCGAGCACTGTCTTCACCACCTGGAGACGCACTTTGAGTACCGAGCCATCGAGTCCAGTGAAGACCTGGTTAGGCTGCTCGATCTGAATCAGTACCTGCGTGAGTATCACGCAGATGGCAGTGACGGCGGCGCCTCCGCACTCGCCCGACTTTCGCCACTCTTCAACGACCTGCTGAAGATTGTGGAGCACTCGGTGAGCGACTGTCCGGTGACCACTGCCCACCTCCTCGTCATCCTGCACCTGTGCGACGTCAGAGAGCACGACCTGTGGGCGCGTCTCCAGTCGGCGATCACCATCTTTGACATGATGCGCACTGCCGCCGCCACCACCGGATCAGCTGCCAACGATGAACCAGTGCCTCCACCAGCAACATCTACCACAGTGGTCGATCGCAAGCCGGTGGTGACGTTGCAGCAGCTGCGAACCCTGCTCTGGTACTCGCTGGGGCTGCAGGACTTCAACGACCAGTTCCTCGTCGACCGACAGTTTGACCTGCAGTACCTGCGCACCAATCTCGGACGCACCTTCTACCGGGCCGTCGTCGAGAACGGCTTTCAGCTGCTCGAATGAGAAGGACCGCTGCGCGCCCACAAGGACAGTTGTTCTTTGCTGCTTTACACATACCNCTGCAGTACCTGCGCACCAATCTCGGACGCACCTTCTACCGGGCCGTCGTTGAGAACGGCTTTCAGCTGCTCGAATGAATGAGAAGGACCGCTGCGCGCCCACAAGGACAGTTGTTCTTTGCTGCTTTACACATACCTGTCATTTTCATTTGCAGGAATTTCTTCTTCTTGTTTTTAGTGTTTAGTAAACAAACTGCAAAATATTTTAGAAATGCACTTTATTGAATAGAAATGTATTGTGTACAAATGACTCATCAACTACCGGTGACATTTACAGTGGTGGTTTTTATAAACTTTGTTTGGTATGTACAACTATTGAAACAGTGCTCGGCTGCCGTCCTTGACTACTATACTGTACAGATCGCAGGGAAGGGGTCACAACTGTGCTGTTGTGGGGTATTGTTGGGTGTGCTGCATTCAAGTGAAATCACAAGGGTTTAAAGGTGAATGCAAATAAGTTCGCTGTGGTCGGCGTGCCTTGCCACGGGCTTCAGTCTAGAGGCGGCAGATGAGG